AAACTCACAGTCAGCTTTCATGGTAAACTCTTACAATCAACTCAAATGGTAAAGTCTCACAGAATCAACTCCCATGGTAAACTCTCACAGAGTCAACTCTCATGGTAAACTCTCATATATTTTGCACTCATATATAGAAAACGCTCAATCCATCAATGCCTCAAGCAAATGAACATGTTTCTCTTTCTCTTCATGTCTGATACAAAATGATAAGTGGGGACAGATCAAAAAAACTATCAGAGGATGTATACACCCAAAAAGAGATGCCCCAACAAAGGTATATTGTGAGATATACCATGTATGGTGCTGTGCATTTACTGTGAGAGACCACATGTTGATAACATACTTTAAAAAAATTTGGATTATGAGGAATGCCGAGAGAGAGGGAGAGAGAGAGAGAGAACCACTATGTAGCAAAAGAGACATTGCCTGTAGTATCTTGACCGTTCGTGTTCTAATGCATATATAATATATTGATGCATGCACTGAATCAAACTGGAACATGTTTACATGACATTGTGTGGTCAGAGCCAATGACAGTTTTTATGATCAAAACATCAAAATGCATCAATATACACAACTTATTGCATGATCGTGTGTGTCCACAAAACTAAGAGGCAAATTATCTGTCAAATTTTGATATAAAACTCCGAAGCCAACTTCGAAGTTTTATATCGTGCCCCAGGTGTGACCCCGGAGTTCGTTCGAAGTTTTACTGTCAAAAATAGATATCTATTTCGGCAAATTCTATCTATTTATAGATATCTATTTCGGCAAAATTTATCTATATAGGTAACTCTAAATCTAACTATTTTTTTGAAAATAGACAAATCAAAATAGATAGATTTCCAGAAAATAGTTTGCAAAAAATCTATCTATTTTGTAGTTTTTTAATAGTCTAAAATAGTTATCTAAAAAAATATCTTATATATAAAAATCTAGGAAATAGTCAAAATCCTAGAATAGATAGGATTTTGTCTAATTCGGTCTATTGGGCGTGGAAACTTTGACACTCTGACGGGATGTGGAGCACCTTTTTCTCAGTGGACTGGAAGGACGTGCTTGCGAGATGTGGTCCATAGCGGGGATTACAACGGATCTCGAAGCAGCGTTCCCCACAGATGAAAAAGTGATGCGTTTGATTCACGTTCGTCGGCACTCGTTTCCATGTCCACTGTTGTTTTTTGCACGTGTATATATATTTGTACTTGATATAAAAGTACAGGTGAGGTATATATACACTTTTTAGTATGGTTTGTGTAACTTTGTATATATAGGCTGTGTTGCAGTACCGCGTAGTCGCTTGTTAGTTTCCAGGTTCCCCTTTTTGAAACTTGTAGGAATAAGGGCCCCCTCCGTCCGAGGCACGAGGTTAGGATGTACCCTTTATTCCTGGAAGTTTCGTTGTCTTTGAACACATGGTGTTCAAAGACCCTGGGGAACCTGGAATTATCAACTTCTAAACTTCTGAGCGACGCGCGTTGCGTAGGATCTACGCGAGGGTTACTGCAACAAACCTCTTTCTTTTTCAAAACCAAATGTCCAATAATATAATGTCGTTTACAGAACCTGTGCCTCTTGGAACTTTGCAGTCTCTTTCTTATCGGCGTGAAACTTTTACATGTTTCAAGTGATGTGCGGTTCCTTCGGCAAGGATCTGTTCTTGTCAATGTGACATCTATATTTTGTGTGGGCATTTTGGTCTCAAGTGGCATCCCCCCACGAATTTTTGTTCACCCACCCAAAACTGTGGTCAAACCACGTTTTTTCCCAACCCAAGGGAAGGGGTGATGCCTAACCCTACCGTTATTACAACGGATCTCGAAGCAGCGTTCCCCACAGATGAAAAAGTGATGCGTTTGATTCACGTTCGTCGGCACTCGTTTCCATGTCCACTGTTGTTTTTTGCACGTGTATATATATTTGTACTTGATATAAAAGTACAGGTGAGGTATATATACACTTTTTAGTATGGTTTGTGTAACTTTGTATATATAGGCTGTGTTGCAGTACCGCGTAGTCGCTTGTTAGTTTCCAGGTTCCCCTTTTTGAAACTTGTAGGAATAAAACCCGAGTGAGTGACCTCTTCTTGACCAAACGTCTGGGAAATGCTGTGTTCCGTATTCATCGCGAGGCCTTAGGTTTCAAGGTGATGTCTGCGCCCATATGCAGTCTTGCTGAGAGTTCATGTCGTTGTCCACTAGGGTATGTTGGAATTACAGTTGGGATGGAGAAGGATAAAGTTTCAGGACTTGAAAAAATATCCTGAAGGTTTTTCGTCTTTCAACTTTGTGTTTTCCTCCTTTTGCAAACCACGGACCGAACCCAAGGACCTTTGCCATGTTTGCTTTTGCCTTTCTTTCTTTTGCCTTGCGCATCTTTGCTATTCTTTCCTCCTTTGACTGAGCAAGCAAACCGAATGATTGCAGGGGTACGACGAAGGCCGTGGTGTGGCGTTTCCTTGTGTCTGATTTCCTTGTGGGGCATGGTTCTTTCAATTTGTGTTGGTGCCTTTGTTGGTGTTTTCCCCAAATTTGGTTAAAACCTTACCTTAAAACCCTGAGGGTTTGGCGAATAGCATGTGAACCAATGAGTTCATATGTTAATAAAGAACCCCGAAGCTCATAGTGTTGATAGTGTGAATAAAGGGCACACACATACCTTTCACTGACCCCAGTGAAAAGGATGGCCAAAGTCGCCACGGCTTTGGCAATGCCCGATGCCCGTATTTGGACAGCACAGCGAGCAAAAAAATCGGACCAACGCTACCAGCTACTCCTTCGCCTGGAAGATCTCAGGCCAAGGTTTGACGCCTTTGCCACCTTTGCCAACACCATCTTTTGCAGCAGAGGATGGGGAACTCTTGTCATGTTGTTCAAAGGTTTCAACTTTATAGTTTTCATGTTTTCTAGCCCAAAATGGGAGATGCCGGAAGGTAAACATGGCAAAACCACCTAAAAAAAAACTCACAATCATTTGAAAACTCACAACTGTTTCCGCTGGATTGTCAAAGAACCTTTCTTTGCCGAAGTTGAACCTTGCATTATCAGATGAGGTTGATTTTTTCGCTAGCCGCTAGCGTTTTTTTTACAATCTGGAAAGCAAAGTACGCAACACGTCAGACAAATCACAGAGTCTTGGCGCCTTTTGAGGGTACACGTGGAATAATTCGGGCATATCCTCGCAGGGTATCCATCTGCCTATTTCCTTTGTAAGGTGCGGTTCTCAAGATCCAAAAATGTCTAAATTTTATTTTATGCAGGCATCTTCCTCTAAAAAAACAAATCTGGTACCCAAACATGAGGTGACATTTTAGAACGATTTTTTTGGCGTACCTTGGCTTGAATCCTTTACAAAAATATATTTCACGTTGTTGTTTTTCCAACCTGATGAAACAGTATTTTGTAGTGGGGACGGCTGGTATTGTAGGAAACCATTTCAAATTTGTAAGGTTGCATGGTGTCATGTTGCCAAGGGTTTCAACTTTATAGCAACCTAATTCCTTTTTGTTTTTTGGTGCAAGATGGGTGATGCCAAAGGCAAAACGTGTCAAAACCTGAAATTTTAACAATTTTTTTTTTGTTTATTTCGCTTTCGATTGGAAATATTTCTGAACTGTACCTAAGTTCAACTTTTTGCAGGCTCAATGTCATGAGCGCGCTATCCATTTTCAATTTTGAACCAAATTTGGTGGTCAAACAGAAGGCTAAATGTAAACTATTGTTTTCGTATACCAAGATGCTTGAATTTAACCAAAAATCAGGTTTTCAGTTTGTTCTTTCATGCAAAAACAACCCGTCGAAAACGTATTTTGTACTGGGGACAGCTGGTATCGTGGGACACCATTTCAAGTTTGTAGGGGTTCGTGCTGTATGTTGCGCACAGATTTCAACTTGATAGCAACCCAATTCTTTTGTGTTTTTTTTCCAAGGTGCCAAAGACAAAACATGGTAAAACCACCAAAAACAGTGCACGTGCATATATATATATAATTATTCATCATTGTTTCCAAGATCGTCATGGAACCTGTGTTTTCCAGAATTCAACCCAGCATTATCAGATGAAATTGATTTTTTTCGGCAACGTTTTTTAACAATCTGGAAAGCAAAAGTACACAACATGTCAGACAAATCACAAAGTTTAGGTGCCTTGTGAGGGCACATGTGGAATCATTCGGGCATATCCGCGTGGGATGCACTTGAACAGAGGTTGTCTTTATAAAGTTCAGGGTTTCTATAAAATTCCAATTTCATCGGAAAAAATGAGGTGAATATACAGAGTTTTTTTCAAGGCACGTTGGGGCTTGAACTTTACATACAGAGTTTTTTTGGTTTAACCCCTGATTGGGTAAACTTTTGGTATTGCACCCAATTTCAACATTATAGAGGCTCAATGCCATGAATGTGTGACCCATTTTGGCTTTTATAGTGATGGTTTGGGCCATTTCAATTTATATATAACTATAAAATTCGGGTTCTGACCCTCTACCCTAATTCACAGAGGGGATGATATATGTAGATTCCAAATTTGACACAACAATGTGCTGGGATGACTGGATGTTTGCATGCAGGCATGGTATCCGCAGCTGCACATTACCGGGCCACAGGGTAGAATTCATCCCTCATATCACACCTAGAAACAAACCTTGGGTGAAATGACATATAGTCATATAGTGTGTCATTTTTCTTGTTTTGGGACCATGTAATCGGGTATTCAATTCAATTCCAACAAAACTTAAATTTTAAAGTGTAATGGACCTTAGGGTTAAGAAACTTACAGTGTATCATACTACTATGTACCATGGATGGTTGGGGAAATGTTTTTTTTGTGTTTTATCAGATTATTCATTGCAGGTCTCCGTTTCCAAATTGTTGAAAGGATGGGCCAGAAGTGTACGACAGGTACCACAAAGGGTTGGCCATGATTAGTAATACACATTTTTTCATCCATCCAATTCTGGAAAGTGGAAAAACTGACCAAAAAACCACATGTTTTGATTCTGCACTGTTTCAGCCATGCCGCAGTACGAATATGTGACTCGGGAGATCGGCGTGCCTGTTTGCACCCTGACTGCTGCTGATTGTGAAGAGCTGCTGCGTGGGCGACGTGCTGCGGAGCTTCCCCAGTGGGTGCCGCTCAATGGCCGTAGAGCTGAGTTTCAGGTGCCAGAACTACCGGATGACAACGTGGTGTTGCAAGTTCCTCTACCAAATGGTGCCTTGATTTTCAACTAAAGAAAACTAAATTATGGAAAATTGAAGAATATGTCGATTTTTGTTCCAATTTTGATTCTTGCCAGATGGTGCTCATTCCAAATTGTCAATGGGAAAATGGGTGGAAATCGTGATAGGTATTTTTCTTTGGCTGCCGCTTCGGCTAACATGAACGCCGAATTGATAGTGTGATGGGTTCTACAATGTGGGGCCCCCCAGTTATAAGTTGGTTTATAAACCCCATTAACTATAGTTATAAGTACCATAAACCATAGTTATTGGAGTTATAAACCAACTTAGCTATCTTGGGGGCCCCCATTGTACAGAAATGGTAATCAACTGGCAAAGCATACCGGTAATCAACAAGTTGGGAGTCATTTTATAGGATCCCTTAAATAGGGTTTTCTTCCGGTGTACTCGAAAAAATGTCACAAAGTCCATTTTGAGATGGTTGGATGGCCATTGGGATTAGCTCGTGATTGTTGGTGATACCCCGGTATATCTTCATCATATCCCCATCATATCCCCTGAAACTGGTCGGTTTGATACACCATTGTTAGGTTTACAATCCGTTCCTCGAAATCTGCCATGGGAATTCCCAGTAGCGATGATAACACTAGCGGTGGTAACATTAGGAATTGCCGGACTGATCCAAAATAAAAACAGGTGTCTGAACATGAAAACAAAAGGTGTAGCTGCGTAGCTGATGGCAACTTTGAAGATGAATTCATTTTGGATCGTTCATCTTAGCTGAACCAAATGGGATTGGTTCAGAATGTTCAGAATCATTGGATTCTGAGTGAATGGATTCTGGTTGACGTAACTGGCCTTCCAAAAAAACGGATTCCCTGGTTGATGCATTTTTTTTCTGCAAAAACGATAGTATGCTATGAGACTGGTACCTTCAACTAAACCGGGGCGCGGTTAAGTTCACATTTGTCCAGGGTTGACGTTTTCCAAAAAACTGTTGCCAGTGAGGTAAGAAACTGGAGGTGCCCCTTCCGGAGAGATGCAAAGAAGGAGACACGCTTTGTTTGCTTCAAAGGCAAGACGACACATGGAAGGCGCGAGCCGTTGATGTCTTCCTGTGGCATGATCTAAGGTTTTGGGGATTGATGCTTGGAAGTGCTGAGGAAACACTAACTGCTAACCCCTTTCCCTTATATCACAACCATAATGTATCATTGATTAGCTATATCCATATGGTCAGCTATATCCCCGACCAGTTATAGTTATTATAATCCCCATAAAGTCATATCCCTTCCCACTTATAGCTGGGATATAAGCATCATCCGCAGGATTTCCTCTTGAGGTGAAGGTTTGAATGAAACTTAACCTGTTGAACCAATTTTCACGATATCATACTGTTGTTGCAAAGGTTCAACCTGATGTTTTTGGTTGAAGACCCATTTTGTTTTTGCTTGCCCTGCGACTTTGGTTGAATTACTCTACTTGTTGGATAAATCGTCACTTTTCTTGGTGAGGGATCAATCTTCGCCAAACTGAAGTCTTTGATGTCGTGAAAATCCTCAATTTTCCTAGTTCAACCGGACATTTATTGGAAAAAACCATGAAATCCCTCCATTTCAAGAGGTTTTTTTCATTTTTTTCTCCCAAGTCCCGTTTTGGCACCGGGAGGTGGTCCCCAAGAAGCATCGCTTCTCCTTCGTGGTTCCTCCCTGCTGTAGCGGCGATGTGCTGCGCTTGAAGCCGACGGATCATCTGGAGCTGAATTTTGCCGTGCCGGAGAACGTCGAAGCCTTCAATGTGGCCACTTGGGCATGGCATATGGCTGTTGGATCTGATTTTAGGCCCTTCCCACCTTTCCCTTTAGAATCCTATACTAGGATAACTACACACTGTTTTTTTGGTCTCTTGCCGGGATAATCTGCGTTTTAAGCCATTTATTACTTGTTTACTTGTACGTAGTATGGTTAATATATGGTTTATATCGATGATAGGTGTTTTACTGAAATGGGTGTATGGTGTTAGCTCGTCATGCTGACAAGTAGTAACTGTTGGTCACTCCCAGGTCTTGGTTGAAATCCTTTTGTGCGATTGTCATTCCAAGTGACCATATCTGATTATCTGATTATGGTGAGAATGTTGTATCATTCCCATACTTTTAACATTCCCATCGCATTTACCCGGGTTTTTTTAGTAACATAGATGCGGCTTTCATCAACCATGTGTAAAGAACATTTTCGAAAAAAAAGCCTGACGGTTTTCCAACTCTATTTTAGTAAAAAGCCTACAAGGTGGTACCCAGTGAAAATTTAATAAACCCCTTCTGAATACTAGTTCGTTATTTGCGTACCATGTTTACCATAGTTATTGTAGGGTACATCCTACCGTCCCAGGGTGAACTCCCCGAGGTGACGCTTCAGGCCGACGCAGATGGCGCCTGGAACTTCCAGCAGTGCGCCGTGCTGCCACCGGAGACGGAGCCGCTGCCGCTGCCCGACGCTGGGCGTATGCGTTTTGGGGAAGGGGAAGGGGGCGGGGAAGGGGAGTGGCTCCCGGTTGGGTTAAAACTTATAACTGGTTGAAATGGTTGAAATATTTTTGGGGATAAAATTGACAAATGAGGATTGGTGAATGATTAGTTTGATATTGGATTTCCGTACTCGATATTTTGGCATCACAAAGTTGGGTTAAAACATCCAACATCCAATAGTGGGTTATCATCCAGTTAGATTAATTGCTAGTAACCAAAGTTGAAGCAATCCCATCCCCCAAATTATCCAGTGGTGAATGGAGGGAGCGGTTCGGTGCAATATATGTATGTTCCCTATAAAATGGAAGGCCACGGGGCTACTAAGAGAACCCTATGATAGCTAACATTGCTAACATGTCTGAAATTTTTATTCATCCGATAGATTGAGGTATACCCAATTTGATAACCACTGCTATGAGGGATGGTTTCTAGCATTGTAGTTTCTCCATTCGTAACCATAGGAACAACTGATTATGCACGATAAACCCAACTAGGGCTAATCTAATAGTACAACCGTATTTGGGGTCCCGTTTTTTAGGTTTCGGGTGAAATGTCGATGGTGAGGAAAGTCACACAATGGAGGACTTGTATTTCACCAACTTCATGTGGGATGAATTGGGATTGTTTTACCATCGGCACATCGGGTTTCATGCAAATTCAAGGATCAAAAATGTAAAGTTTCACTGTATTTCAAAAAACCCATGATCGTAGCTATATATTTATACAGTTTCCCAATGTTTCCCAGTTTTCCCAGGATGCCAGCAGGTATAGAGGGGCATCTCATCACCAGTCCTTTCAGCACTTGATTGGTGCTACCTGTGGAAGCCTCAGGAATGGACCAGCGGGCAATATCAAGCGATCTTGGACGCCTTGAAAAGCAACTTGGAGAAGTATCGACCTCCACAAAACAAAAAAAAATAGCAACGTTGACAACCATGAATTGCTCCCACCCCCTGATTCTGCCCTAGTCTACTTAACTCTTGCCCTACCCTACTAACCACCAGGACCAGAAAAAAATCCCTTCCGACTAACATGGAACACCCTCCAGAAACCATGTTTAGTGGGGGATTTCCACATATTTGCGACCATTTAGGGGGTGTTTAATATGAGGAAGATGGGACTACCAACCATGGGCTATGAAATGGGTCATTGCGGTCATTCTTGGACACTTGAATGACAGGCAAAGGCTATTTGGATCGTCTATGCCCAGACGAGTCAGGTGTTCTCAATGTGGGCGTGCCATTCTGCAACTTGGCATTTTTGGGAGTGGGGAGTATAGCTCAAAATGCTTAACAATGGTAATATTTTCGTTAGTCCTAACTTCGAGTATCATTCATGGTGGGGTCCCAGATCTTTCTCCATTTGGGATATTTTTCGGGGATAAAACATCACTTTTTTCATGGTGGTTAAAGAGTTGTTAAATCTACGAGTTGGGGTTATGTTGAGAGGCGAAATATAAATATGGGGTTTTAAATTGGGAATTCCCAAATCATCAAACATGGGTCACTTTCACGGGGAAAGCAATTGATTTAAATACGTGTAAGTCTCCTTTTAAACTCTGGTTTCTGTGGGGTGGTGAATATGAACGAGATGGCGCTGTAGATCACCACACACGCATTGGAAGCTATGGATCCTCAGTTCATGCATTGCAGTTCCACTCACAAAATGGGGTACTGTATACTTCCCCGCCCCCCAAAAATTGCGATTTTAATAGAGAAAACGCATGTCAGTCGCCATTGGTTAACCGTTGGATTTTGGGAATACTCCAGTTTCAGACACACATGAAAAATGCGAAACTTCTAAGTGAACAAGTTCGAACATATGACTTACCATCGACAAGATTACGACCCAGAGAGCATTCCAACCGGGAAACGTCCTCTGTTTATCAGTTTGATTTGTTGTGCATGTCATCATTTTTCTTGGCTACGCTCCGGTTTTTGCGTTTGCATAGTGGATCCATTTCTTGCCGACCTTTTTCTTGAGGTGACAAAAGTCAGGCATTTTGTTTGACGAAGCCTCTTGATTTGCGCTTGTTCCCCTCCAGATCTAGGCGAATCATAGGAGTTGGATTGGGGAAATCGTCCGTCAGAACATGTGAAGAGCTTGGTGAATGACTGCGAAAAATCGTCAGAACCTAGAATACCACATTTCTTTTGGGACGACCCATACCCAACTTTGGCCCAATTCAGCCAGATTTAGGTGGCCACTTTCACGAATACATCACCCTGGGCAATTTCCTGGTGAAGCATCGCTTGGAAATGCCTGGAGCGCCTTGATCTGGCGATATCGATGGAACATCTCCAGCCGGGATGGATCATACATACCCTCTGGTTATGTCAACAGTTTGCTATTGAAAATCACCATAGAAATAGTGGATTTTCCCATGAAAAATGGTGATTTTCCATAGTTATGTTAAATTACCAGAGGGTACATACATTACGTTACGTTACATAATACATACATAATACATGCATGCATACATAGACACACACACAGACCGTATTTTTTTTTGGAGATGAAACTCCATTTACTTGGATTTGCTGAAGATGATGTTTCCTTTTCCAAATGGGAAATCCACTACTTGGGGAATCTGTAAGAAATATATTTCCAGAATGCGCAGCGATCCTCTGGTTCAGGCTGGGTTGATCGAGGGTTTGTGCAATTTGATGAAGATCCTAGTGACATGTTCTAAGATAAAGAGACCCTTGGTGAAGATCTTGAAGATGCCCTGTGTTACAGGTGCTTGTCTAAAAGTTCTGCTGGGATGCTCATAGGAGGTTCTGCAAATAACTACCTGGTCTTTTTTGTCCTGACCTCTTGCATATATTGTTCCACCGGGGTGGGAAATTCGAAATGACATTGCTCCAAGAGGGTGGGAATCTAGATGCCCTCTTGAGAATATGACAGGTTTTTCCTTCTGTCCACGGGGCTGGGAAATGTGCTATTCTCTGCAAAATATGATTGGGACCCATTGTGTGAACATAATATGCATGCATTTTTCCACGAGGGTGGGATTTTGGATGCGTTTTTGAACATATGAGCGGTTCCCCTTCTGCAAGTCTTCTATGCATGTGTTGTTACAGGGGGTTTGGCATTTTGATGCGTCTTCGCGAATATGACTGGTTCCCTTTCAATTTTCATACTGCCAGCGTGTCTGGACATCCGACTTTCACAACGGCAATCCCCTCTACAGAGGAATCCATAATCCTGAAAAATGGTGGTGGGACAATCGTATAATCCATATTCCATGTTTCGACCATGGAAGGGTGTTGCCTGCGGTCCAAGTTCTATCGTTCAGGATTGGTTGATAGTCCTTATTTTCAGCCATCACTATGTGGCAAGCCTCGGTTTGCACACGGGATGTACCCACGTGCCCCCAACATTCCCATACTTTCCATTTTGCGCGGAAATTTACAGCTAAAATGCCGCCGACCAAGACCAAACCCAAGTTGCGCTGCAGACATTGCGCGAGCCTGCGCAGTCGAAATGCACATGGACGTCTCACAAGAGGAAAATTGGAGCCATTTTATGTGGAGTGAGCACCTCAATCAAACACCAGCCTTGACCCCTACCGCAAGAACCCCTCAGCTTGGACACGAACCACCAAAATTGGCAACGACCAGGCTCAAAGCGCAAGGATTTTTTTGCCCCAGGCACTCTGCAACACCTGGTGTACCCTAGCTTGCTTAGCGGGTTGGCAACTTCAGCCAAAATGGCGGAACATTCGTCATATGAACTGTTGATTGTCCACGCGCGTTGGACTGTTGAAGCTTCAAAAAAGATCAAGACACAACAAAACAACACAAACCCTCCTACCTACCCCTGACACCTCCGTGTGTCGTTCGGATCCGGTCAATCAAGTGCTTGTTTGGAAGCATCCAGCTGATCTGCAGACCCAAAAACTCTTCGGTTTCATCCAAATCTTTCAGCCCCGATTCATGCCAAGCAGTTGCAGCCATTGATGGCAATCTGGCTTCAAACCACTCGGCACGGAAAGGCAAGGCAAGACGGGGTAAACCCCCTACCTTTTTCACAGGTTTTGGTCCAGTTGCAGTAGGAAAAACTATACCTGTAGCATGCTGGTACTTGTCTTTGAAGGCTTCAATTGCTATGTCGGCCATGGTTTGGTCACTGTGTTTCTTTCGGATCCGCTTTATCTGAGCAAGCGGCCATGACCTGTGGATGGAAGGATTGTGAAAGGATGATGGCAGCAATGGAGTCCACTGTGAGGTGGTTTTCGAAAAAAGGCGGTGGTCGAGAATTCTGGTGCAATCCCATCGTTTGCCCCGGAAAAACTCAACATCCAGCACTGGCATTTCCACATTGCTGACTGCTTCGAAATTGATCTTGAAGCACCCGGCTTTCCGTTTCAGGAGGTCAGAAAATTCAAGTAGTTTGTCTTTACTGCAGTCAGTAATGAAGAAACCATCATCCTTGAACCTGTAGTAACAAACCAAATTGTACTGAGCCCTCACAGACTCCGTCAATAACCACTGTCGTTCAACCAGGTCAAGAAAACAGATGTCCGCTAGGTCACCAGCAAAAGCCAAACCCATGCCGGCTCCCATGCAAACGCGGTAGTAGTCTTCATTTTCAGAGGTTGCAACATATTGGTTACGCAAGATTAAGCCCGTGAGCTCCTCCAAACATAGTTTAGCACCCTGAGGAAAAAATTGCGCCACAGAAGAAAGGATCAATTTGTGATCCCCACTCATGTAAAAATCCTTGATGTCGAACTTGACCATCACTGCAGAAGAAGGAACCACTATCTTGGACATCTGGCATAGCAGATGGTCCGAGTCCCGGACCAAATGTTCATAGGATTCCAGATATGGTCGCAGTAGTGATGAAATGTACCTCATTGCAGGGATGAACATGTTGCGAACTGAACTGTGAATAATCCTCAGGCCAACGTCACCAGGGGGTTTGTGGGTTTTCACAGTGCATAAAACACGCGAATGCAGTCTGCTAGACCCAGTCCTGACTGACGACAGAATTGCACTTGACAGTTTGGAGTCGTTTGTGTGTTCCTCCAGCCATCTGACTATTCCAGCAAAATCATCAACAATGCTGTGAATTTTGTGCTCGGTAACGAATGCTTTCTCATAAAAACTGCTGTCCAATGTAGCATTGATAGTCTCGGTCAGTGCTGCGCGATCACACAAGGCATAGCCACCATCTTTGTCTGTCAACGCTAGACACCATCGACTGTCAGCCAACATTTGAAAACCAAGCCGCACCACGCCATTGAGGTTTGAGATGGACCGTCTTCTGTTGGAGAGTTTGCTACGGACTGCACGACACTTCTCGAAAGCACAATTGCGGAAAATTGCAAAAAAGCGGTCCCATTCAACTGGAAGAGGGTGATTGCACTGAAAGTTCCGTTTCAGCTTTCTGTCTTCCAGCCAGGACCAACCACCTTCAGAAAAACAATTGTCTCCCTGCAGTTTGTGGTAAATTCTCCACCTGGCTCTGTGCTCCCATTTTGCTACGGCCTTATTGAGCTCCGAAATTGGCGGAGAAGACCGTGACTCAAAAACATGCTTTGGGTGGTATCTTGCGATAAATTCAATCGGCCATGGCACCTCAAAAAAGCAATCAGCAGGAGTAAAAGCAATGCGAGAGGCAGGATCGTACACGTAGAATCCCGGCAAGCTCTTGCCGCAAGAAAAAAGCTGTACAAGTTCCGCTGCTGTCATGCCACGCACCATGGCCAAGAAACGAGCAACTACTGACTTAGTCAGTAGTTGCCCTTTCCTTTGCCTTTGTCTTTCCACTTTTGAGGCGGCTTTCCACGTCCGCCTCCTTTCCCTTTTCCTTTCGCTACGCGAAACCCCACAGCCGGAGGTTTGAATGTCGAGCTCATATTGTTGGCACCTTTCCCAGGCTGCAAAGGTGCTTTTCCTTTGCCTTTGCTTTTGCCCTTTCCAGAAACACAGCCCTTGCCTTTGGACTTGGCATGAGGCTTTCCTCCGGAAGAATTTGATTTCTTGGGGCCCAAGGAATGGCGGCTTTTCTGAGTTCGAGCTGCTTGTTTCGCTGTTCCAAGGTTCTCTTCGCAAATGTCATGGGACATCATGCCATTCTGAAACATGTTCGTCACAATGCCAGCCATATTTGGGGAAAATTGCATGCTCCGATTTGCTGCTGTTTTCACCGATTTGCCTCCTTTTGCAGTAGATTGCTTGTTACCCTTACCACCAATCTTTGCAATTCGGTCATCAATGGCAGCATTGAGAAGGTCCTCAGGCTTTGATTTCAACAACTGCTGAATTTGGTCTTCTTTGGATTTGGCAGCCTTTGCGTCCAATGCATTCTTTCTCTGTAAAGCTGTGGCAGCTCTGTCAATGGTGCTGATATACACCGATTCGATTTTTGCTGCAAAAGCATCAGGTCGAAGGCATTGAGTGAATTCTGAGTCATCTGCTTCAAAATCCAAATCCAAAGAATGCCATAAGGATTGCTGCTTGCTGCGCAGTGATTGGCACCGCTCAACAAATGATGATTTCTTGGTGAAAGATCGCAGTTCCTGTCGCTGGGCGTCAGCGACCTGAGCATCCATCTCCTTCATGAACCACATGTACTGGCAGTGCAGGATCTGTTTAGTTTCACGTATGGAAGAACCTTGAGGGATAGTGAATGACCAATCTCGACGGACAGGCATCAAATCATCTAAGAAATGTGATTCATAAGGCATGGGGGTAGGCCGGGTTCCGTTTGGGATGCGGCCGTTACCCAAACTTTCCATGTCAGCCTTGTTCTTCGCAATTCTAGCATTGACTTTCTGCAGTGTTTCTATCTTGCTGGACAAGTCAAGAGCGTGGCGTTTCAGCTGATGCAATGCCTCAGGAGAAACATGCTGCGAAAGTTCAACTTCAACTAGCTGTTTAATCTCTTTGATGCGAGTCTCTTCAATTCCTCTGGATGCGGAAGGCATATTTGCCTGGAGGGCCTCTGCTTCCTCTCTGGCTCGAGAGCGAGATCGAGGCCTCAATTCTTCCAAGTGAGATGCTGGACTAAAGGAATGCAACTGGCGTCGGCCAGGTGGAGCATTCGCTCTGTTCGTGTCCACATCTTGATTTTCGGTCTCATCAGCGCCGGCCATGGCGTTGGTTTCTTTAAACCAAGGAAAAAACCAAAATTGGCAACGACCAGGCTCAAAGCGCAAGGATTTTTTTGCCCCAGGCACTCTGCAACACCTGGTGTACCCTAGCTTGCTTAGCGGGTTGGCAACTTCAGCCAAAATGGCGGAACATTCGTCATATGAACTGTTGATTGTCCACGCGCGTTGGACTGTTGAAGCTTCAAAAAAGATCAAGACACAACAAAACAACACAAACCCTCCTACCTACCCCTGACACCTCCGTGTGTCGTTCGGATCCGGTCAATCAAGTGCTTGTTTGGAAGCATCCAGCTGATCTGCAGACCCAAAAACTCTTCGGTTTCATCCAAATCTTTCAGCCCCGATTCATGCCAAGCAGTTGCAGCCATTGATGGCAATCTGGCTTCAAACCACTCGGCACGGAAAGGCAAGGCAAGACGGGGTAAACCCCCTACCTTTTTCACAGGTTTTGGTCCAGTTGCAGTAGGAAAAACTATACCTGTAGCATGCTGGTACTTGTCTTTGAAGGCTTCAATTGCTATGTCGGCCATGGTTTGGTCACTGTGTTTCTTTCGGATCCGCTTTATCTGAGCAAGCGGCCATGACCTGTGGATGGAAGGATTGTGAAAGGATGATGGCAGCAATGGAGTCCACTGTGAGGTGGTTTTCGAAAAAAGGCGGTGGTCGAGAATTCTGGTGCAATCCCATCGTTTGCCCCGGAAAAACTCAACATCCAGCACTGGCATTTCCACATTGCTGACTGCTTCGAAATTGATCTTGAAGCACCCGGCTTTCCGTTTCAGGAGGTCAGAAAATTCAAGTAGTTTGTCTTTACTGCAGTCAGTAATGAAGAAACCATCATCCTTGAACCTGTAGTAACAAACCAAATTGTACTGAGCCCTCACAGACTCCGTCCATAACCACTGTCGTTCAACCAGGTCAAGAAAACAGATGTCCGCTAGGTCACCAGCAAAAGCCAAACCCATGCCGGCTCCCATGCAAACGCGGTAGTAGTCTTCATTTTCAGAGGTTGCAACATATTGGTTACGCAAGATTAAGCCCGTGAGCTCCTCCAAACATAGTTTAGCACCCTGAGGAAAAAATTGCGCCACAGAAGAAAGGATCAATTTGTGATCCCCACTCATGTAAAAATCCCACAACAACACAACAACAACACAACAACACAACAACACAACAACAACAACAACAACACAACAACAACACAACAACAACACAACAACAACAACAACACAACAACAACAACAACACAACAACAACAACACAACAACACAACAACAACACAACAACACAACAACAACAACACAACAACACAACAACACAACAACACAACAACAACAACACAACAACACAACAACACAACAACAACACAACAACAACAACAACACAACAACAACACAACAACACAACAACAACACAACAACACAACAACACAACAACACAACAACAACAACACAACA